AAGGGAGGAAAAAAAAAAAAAAAAAAAAAAAAAAGAAAAACGCATAATTTCAGAACATGGGCCTGCGGCAGGAACTGGACCGGTTAAAGAACGAGAACATGCTGCTGCGTGACAAGCTGAGCAAATACACGGACGTCTAACAGTACGCCGGGCAGGCAACCAGCTCGTCGCGTTATTGAAATTGTCGATGCGGACACGAGCGTTTGTTGTGCCAGCTCCTCCCACACACACACACACACACACACACACACACACACACACACACACACAAACACACACATACATACACACTATAGTCGCAGCACTTAGGATCTTTTTTTTTTTCGCCAGTTCGGATGAAAAGAGGAATAATCATTAAAAGGAGAAAAAAAAGGAAAAAAAAAATGAAAAAGTAAAAAAAAAGAAAAAGACGGAAAAAAGTAAGAAGAAGAAGAAGAAGAAGAACAAGAAGAAGAAGAAGAAGAAGAAGAAGGAAATAAAGAAGACGAAGGAAAGGAAGGAGCGCGCCGAATCGCAAGACCATACTCCGTTAATATGACATAAATTCGTACCAAGCTCGCCCTCAATTCCCGGAGGACCACACGGAGATGTCCACCGACATGAGAGCTTCAGCATCCTCCCTTTTCCCTCCCTCCACACACGTGCGCAAAATCTGTACACATAGAAAAAAGAAACATGCATACAAAAAGAAACATACATATAAAACACACACAACACACAATACACACACACACACACACACACACACACACACACACACACACACACACACACACACACACTTCTTCCTTTTAACCAATTCTCCCTGTTAGACCTTCCTTTGTGCTCCTTTCTCATCTCCCATTCCCCCTCCAGCCCTGGAAACCACCCTCCTTCAGAAAAATTGTACATAGTTATATGTATAGTTAGATTATATATGTGTACATGCATACGTACACGGCCGTATGTGTATGTCTGCCTGTAAAAGCGTGACTCTGTGCCGCGCGTGTACGTGCACGCGCAACCGCATGCACACGTGTATGTATTTATACGCGTCTATATAATATACCAACGAGGTGTAATATACCAACCCGAACAGTACAGGTATATCAATCCGCTGCAACGCAAATTATCGAGCATTATATATATGGATACACACACACACATATGTATATATATATATATATGTATATATATATATATATATATATATATAATGTGGGGAATGCGTACGAGGTATATATCCATATACATAACGAGACACATACGCATACACGTATACACGCGGAGCCGCAGACCGTGGAATAGTTTGCGCGCGTGCCAGATGCGAGTGACGTGTGTAAACTTTTCCTTTTCGCGCGGAGCATGTCGATTGAATCGATTCCCAATCGATCACGTTTAATCTCGGTTAATTCGTTAACTAGAAACTAGCTCGGCGACCACAGTGACGATCCAATAGCTCGATCGCATCATTTCCGTTGTCTTGACTCGTCGCAACATTTCGAAGTTGTTTCAAGATATTTTTTTAAGTACCTTTGTATCGAGATTTCTTTTAAATACCTTCTATTTGTAAAGAGTATGTACTTGTAATGAGGAGACTAATTTCGATCTGAAGAAAATTTCGTTAACTGGCGAAGCTCGCGTTGCCGATATTACTCGTGTAATTATTCTCGATGCGTACACGTGATAATCAAAATTATTTGAAAATTTACTTTAATTTTTAAAGACTATGGAAATGAATTCCTTAACTTAAAAAAACCATTTCGTTGACTGGAAAAGCTAGTGTTACCGATATGATTATTCATATTCGCCTGGATATTATTTCCATCATGATGTATCGCAATGATTCAAGTTTAACCAAAATTATTTGAAAATCTATTTCAAATATCTTGTACCTTTGTAAATACTAAAGAAACTAATTCCGACCTACAGAACATTTCGAGTATGATTGTGATTCATTGTCATTCGCTTGAATATCATTGTACCGTAATATTTCAAGTTTAATCAAAATTATTTAAAAATTTATTTTAAACACCTTGCGTTTTTAAAGACTATGGAAACGAATTCCTTAATTTAAAAAAACATTTCGTTGACTGGAAAAGCTAGGGTTGCCGATATAATTATTCACATTCGCCTGGATATCATTTCCATCATGATGTATCGCGATGATTCAAGTTTAGCCAAAATTATTTGAAAATCTATTTCAAATATCTTGTACCTTTGTAAATACTAAAGAAACTAATTCCGACCTACAGAATATTTCGAGTATGATTGTGATTCATTGTCATTCGCTTGAATATCATTGCACCGTAATATTTCAATATTAATCAAAATTATTTCAAGATTTATTTGAAATAAGTCGTACTTGCAAAGACCAAGGAAACCAAGGACAGATTAATCGATTAATTGACAAAGTTCCTATTGATAATATAGTAGAAAGATTCGAGTAAAATTCAAACGAGGAATATCGAATAATCCATCCATCCCGCGGAGGAAGTGTCTCAAACATGAAATATTTAAGCATCTGGCACGCACACGGCGATCGCCTCGTGAACCTTCGGGTTGGAGCTGATTAGAGTAATGAGCGAAAGATGTACGAAAGCGTATAAACGCGCGCGCGTTTATAAGTGATCGATAGTTGGAGAATAATGGCCGCAAGCGGCCCTTTAACACGGCTATTTAATCACTGCGACTCTCGAGCTTCTGTTTGGTTCAATGTACAATGCGGCCCTCGCAGATCCGATCGCCGATAGATTCTTCGTCTCTCTGAACGTTTTCTTCTCGGCCAGCCTTCGATCCTTGAAACGAGCCTCAGCGGCGCTCAGATCGATCGAGTGCAATAACTAGCGTTGTTGTCTGCGTTAAAATCTGTTCTAAAAGATTGTAACACTTTTCTAACAGTCTCTTCTCTTTTACAGAGAGAAGAATGTATCGCGCGATCGGTGATTTGTCGATGAGAAAAAAGGGGGGAGGGGGGGGGGACAAGAAGAAGAAAAAAAGAAAATACGAAAGAGAAAACTGTAAAGTAAATTGCGAGTACGACGGTAACTTGGGAGAACGACGCTTTTCTGCGCACGGACTAGGGTCCTAGTTCTCTTGTAAGAAAACGTTAATCACTGTAGCGTATCCCACAAGTGGTGATGGTACACATACACACACACACACACACGCGCGCGCGCGCACGCGCAAGTGATTCTAGTTGTTTTTATCGTAAGGTAGAGATCAAGTGCTTCTTTTTTTTTCTTTTTTTTTTTCATAACATAACTTCGTTTTAATCTCTCTTCTCTCTGTAGCGTTTCGTTTTTTTTTCTTTTTCGGCGCTCGGTTGTATACTCTTCGAAGAGCAACATACACACACTACACACACATTCTCTCTCTCTCTCTCTCTCTCTCTCTCTCTCTCTCGAGTGCGGGGAAAGCGTCGCGATTATCGCGTCTTTTATTATCATTTTTTTTTTCTTTTTTTTTTCATTGCTTCGATACGCGTCCGACAATGGATTTTCATTGGTTGTTGATCTATGGTGCTCCTCCCTTTATCCAAAACTATGCTTCTATTCATCTCTTGCCCTTCTGCTTCTTCCCCCCACCCTCCCCCTCGCTTGTTCAATGTATATTCGCGGTGCACGGTTTTTTATGTACAGAGCGAAATTTGGCAAAGCGAAATTAGCTTTGGTAATTCGCAACTTCTTCCATTTCTTTTTCTCTCTTTCTTGTACCACTGGTGGAGCGCATCATTGGCAAATCTCTTCTTTCCCCTCTTCACCTCCAGTCAGTTCTTTCTTCTTCCTTCTATCCACCGCAAGCACCATACAACTTGGGTCCTTTTCTCTTTCTCTCTCTCTCTCTCTCTCTCTTTTAATATTTCTCGTTATCTTGTAAATATCTTTTTAACAAGCGTCACCGCGTACTGTTAGTTCCGTTTTTTCTTTCTTTTTTTTTTTTTTTTAATCGCAAGTTACGCGAGTTGCGCGAATCAAAATCATTTTTAGAGAATCGTGTACAGAGATCGTTCGGTTCCAGAACGCATCGTTTTTCGTTTTATCTTATTATAAAAGAAAGGGGGAAAAGTGAGCAAAATCGTTGGTTCCAATTGTTAACGACTCGACGAGAGTTACACACAGCGATCCGGAGGTGAACAGAAGTAATTAAATTAAAACGTGACATCTCTGTGTTCGTAGTTGCTTCCTCTTGTCTGAACAAAAAGAGACCCGATGAAATTCGATCTCTTCGAGAATGAATTGGAAAGGAAAGAGCGATCGTGAGCGAAGAGCCCCACACGCTCGCGCGCCTTCGCGCGGCTAATATTTTATGTATACACTGTTGATGCGCTAAGTAATAAGCGATTCTGCTCGTTGCAACGCTCAGTGACAATAATCGAGTAAATAATTGTTATATACACATGTTTTTTAGCACTTTTTGCGATGCGAAATATCGGCATTACAGGCGACATAATTGTTCCCGGTTAGAACGCGTTTTTTATATTGCGTCCTATACTGTTTCATTCGTTGCGCTGTCGATTTGTTATTTTTAATCATTCTTTTTTTTTTTTTTNTTTTTTTTTTTTATATTTTTTTTTTTTTTTTTTTTTTTTTTTTTTTTTTTTCTTTCTTTCTCTCGTTTCGACCCTACACCACACGAATTCTCAAAAGAGCTTACAATGTATATGATATATATACATATATGATACGCCGTATCATCATATATAAACGTGTATATTTGTAGACATATACGGAAAAGAGAAATTAATTTTATAGGAGGCTTTGTCAATGACAGATTCGCTTCGAAACCGCCAGTCTCTTTTTTTTT